AGGCTTTTTGAGTAGATCCCACTCAGTTTTCAAATAATAAAATCAAGACCCAGGAAGGTGAAGAGGAAAGACAAAGGTGACTGAGCTAAGTTGGGATAGAACATGGAGTAGAATCCAGTTCTCTAGACATTTCTAAGACCACACCATGTGAAGATTTTATGCAATTATTCTCTTCAAATTTTATTTTCATTCATTTAAAAAACTATAGCACTAGCAACATAGCCATTCTTTATACTCCGAGGTATATATGCTGAATGTGAAAAAAATATGAGTGAAATATGGCTTCTCTTCTGAAATAATCGAGGGTTGAGTTAAAGAGGCAAACATGTCCATTAATACAATGTGATGCATGCTACACTGGATGTATAAACCAAGAGCAAAGAAAACACAGAAAGCATTGAGTGCTGCTGGAAGTAGATGACATGATGCTAGGAAAGCTTCAGCCAGGAGATTTCACTTAGATTCAAACTGGATTTCATTTGAAACAAGCTTTTGCCAAACTGAGAAAGAAGTGTGTCAGGAGCAGGTAACTCCAGGCCAATCAAAATGAAACAAAACAGAACCAAACCAGAAAGACAGGATGAGAGAAGGCAGAGAAGTGACGCAAACATGGGTGTTTCGGGGTAGGGCGGCCCATTTGATGAGTGTGCAAAGGTTTGGGCCACATTTTGAAGGTCTTTAGATCTTGTTCCAAGGAGGTGAGCTTGTATTAAGCACAGAATGACAGCCAGCACAAGACTGTGAGCACGGAGTTGACAGATTATATATATTGAAAGGGGATCTCTGTCAATAGAAGATGGAAAGAACTGGGAAGACCAAGGACAAAAAAAAAAAAAAAACTAGAAAAAGCTCTTAAGCAGTTTTTTCCGTAGTACATTGTAAGTACAAACTTACACAGGTGAATATAACCTGCCCAGAATTAGGTCTCAATGTAGCTTGCACAAGGATACATCCCATGCTCCCATGTTTGGTTTAGCCTCAAAATGTGTCAGTACTTAAGAAGAGTTAACGCTGACTGATCTCAGCAAAGCAGCAGCACTATTGTTATTGAGTCAAAGTGTATGCTTTTAGAACATAAATAGTTATATTCCAGGAAACCTCAGCCAGGTAACCCAAAGTGCCTAAAACTAGAATTTACAAGAAAGGCATGCTTTTTATCAACTAACTCTTCTGTAGTCTCCTTGTAAAAAGCCAAAGAGGGTTCATTGCATACAGGTTTTTCAGTTAGTAGGAGGAGTCAGTTCATACATTTGATAGCCTGTGGATTTTCAGTGAATTTACAGTAAATGGATTCTAGAATCACAAATGACTTGCTCCCTGTACTTCAGTCAGCTTATCCTGAACTTGGCAGAATCCCACACTACTGACTCTGAGTCAGGTGAAAAACAGAGGAGCGATGAAGCTTTGACAGTATATCTGCTCTTACTGACCATGACTCCAAGTTCTGCAGATTTGGAGAGTAATTACGTCTTCAGATTCATAGGAGAAAACTTCACAGGGAGGCAGGAGGCTGGGCTCCTGCTGCTTCCCCAAGAGTAGTCAGGGCAGTGACAGGCAGGACATCCCAACATAGTAACTTCTCACATCTCCCTTCTCTTTTCTTCAGAACTGTGTGCTTATCTGCCCATGTACAGAGGTGCATGAACTAGAAGGAGCACAGAGAAAATCCTTAATTACTAACTGCCTCAAGGTGGAGATTATGGAGAGTTTAACTATGTTAGGTGGCTATTGTTGTCCTGTTGTGGGACCAGAGAAACTCAACATAATAAACAGCCCTTCCAAACTCAGATTGTACTTGATGCCATTTTATGTCACTTTAGCAGTTTGATGTTATTCCAGTGGGACCCGAGGAAGTAAAGAGCAGGTTAGTCACAGAAGCCCAGACACCAGTGGGGTGGGGACAGCAGGTATCACAGATCTGTTGAGCTGAGCTCAGTGGATCTGTGGAACTCAGTGCCCATCCGTGAAGGTCTTTACAAATATTAGTTTTCATAACTGAAAATTGTTCAATAGCTGTAGTTATGATCACTCTTTTTGTCATAACTTATCTCTGCAAACAAAATTAGTATGACAGAAAATATCAATAAAGCTTTTTGGCAGGTCCAAAGGTCAATGAAACTTATTTATATAGTTTTTCATTATGATTATACCTCTCATTAATTTCTTCCTCAGATTCCATGTTATAAATATTCTGTGGCAAAGTCCCCTTCTTGACCTCAGGGGCATTTATTTCTTATAAAGTTGTGGCATTTTGTTATAAAAATAGAATAACAGCAGCAATTGCTATTTCCGAAAGACTCCGTATTGAGTGCCCGGCACCATGCCTATTGCTGTAGATGTTGCATCTACTTGTATCATTCAATTCTTTCAGATACTGTGAAGTAAACATTTTTATAACACTTACATTGCACTTTGAGAAATCTGGGGCTCAGATAAGTTAATGTGAAAGCCCAAAACAAAGACCCCTGACTGACTCCAGTCCCGAAACTCCATCATCTGTATAGCCTTTTGATGTGATCTCACTTTGATATGATAAGCAGATTTTTGAACAGCAGCATACGATTGAAATATTTTGATTGAATCATTGTTTAAAACCATTAAGAAGCTACACTGAAGCAACTAGTAGTCAATCCAGTACGTGGTTGGAGAAGGGGGCCATAGAGTTGTCCTGAAGCTGTGCTTGCAGAGCAAGTATAGTGTATTGCTTAGACTCTATTTTACAGATCAGTACTGCAGAAGCGTTTTCTAAAGATGCTTTGTTTACACTTTTTGGAAGATTGAAGAAGTATCAATTGTCCAATTATATCAATGAATATAATTTTAGGAGTTGATGGACATTATGGAAACCTAAAACCTTATTCCCCACTAAATCCAACATCCCCTTTTATATGTAAGTGATATTTTCATTATACCGTCTTCAGCATTCTCACCTGGGCATGTCCAAATTTTCTTCTCTTTTTCCTTTGAAGAATGTACGTTCAAAAAGGTATGGCCAGCATGACCTGCCACACAGTTATTTCATCTGAGTTATTTAGGAGTTATAAAAAAGAAGTCAATTATGAAAGCTGTCTTTCCTTATAGATACCTAAGAAATTTAGCATACAGATCTTACCTATGACAACAATGTTGTTTAAAGGCCCAGAAAAGATACCATGAAATGATTCACAGAAGATGATGGATTCATTCTTTCAGTGGTTTCTGAAGGCCTGTTGTCCCTTCTTCTCCTTTACCAAAAGTTCTCATGATTCATATTGGCTCTTTGTTTTCTCTCTGTTGTTGAATGATATCAGTACTGGATTTAGAGGACAAAGCTCCACTCCAGATTGTATTCTTAATTGTGATACCCTGTAACTATGAGTACTTTAACAATAATCATGTTGTTTCTCTAGATTTTACTTTGTATCTGTAAAACAATAATAAAATCACCTTGTTTATATCACTGGGCTACATGAGGCACTGCATAAAAAAATTCTTCTGCTAGAAGAAAATAACTGAGTAAGAGGAAAATATTTCTACATCTGTGTGCCTAATCTCATTGACAGGCATACATCAAGGCATACAATTTGATTATGAGGGTATTTGTTTTGTTTTGGTTTGGTTTTTTGTTGTTTGTTTGCTTTTTTAAAAGCAACCTGCTGGCCTGAATGATCTTAGTTTGGCTGTGGTGTATGGGAGCATTATTTAATAATTCTTACCCTTACTTACTTTAGGTTACTTTCGAATTCCATCTAGACCCCTCCCCTGCTAGGAGAAAAAATTCAGCCTTCCAGCAACTTAGCACTGCACTGCTAATCACACAGCCTCAGCTTGACTTCAGGGAGAGTGGGAAATGCAAACTAACACATGAAGAAGAAGAAATTTTGGGTTTGAGGAAGAACTAGCCAGTTTCTGCCATATCAGTCATATTAAAAATATACCTGTGCCCAGGAATCACCATTCATGCTTTTAGGAACATTTGTTTTTATTTTTCTTCTTGAAAACCTAATTTGTCCCGGCAGAAAAATAGGTTTCACTTTGAGTTTTTCCAAAGACTAAACAAAACTGCATGACAAAATTAAAATGTACATATAATTCCACCAAGAGCAACCAATATTATCTAGAAATAGGGACTTTCAGAAACAACTGTGTAGCTTAGGAGAAGTTCCTTCTCCACTCAGTTCAATGAATTAAATGTTAAGGGACAACGAGTATATCTAGAGTGTCCAGAAGGTCTAGAATTTGTGTTCATTCCTATAGATTACTTTAGTAGTTCTCATTTCTTAAATATCGGAGTCTCTATACATAGAGTTTGTCTTCTCTTAATATGTACTGTAAATCCCATCCTGATCAGCAGATTCATTCATTTGCAACAAAGAGGAAGTTTTTAATTGGTAAATGAACTGAACACATGTAGATGTGTCTTGAAGAAGAAGGCAGTAGACATGCGTTGCAGTTTCTTTTCACACAGAGAGGAATCTACTTCCTTTCCCAAATTGCACGTAAAGTAACCACAGGAGCTCAAGCTCCGTACATAATAACACTTAGCATCTGTAGTTTCCTCTCCTACAATGAAAGAAATGCATAAATGCATTTGTTGGCAATACTGACAAAGACCACCTTGTGGAATAATTGAAACCATGTTTTCTGTCACTAGCTGGATGTTTATAAGATGCATCCTCCTGTCTACATTCCAGATTTTTTTTCTTAATTTTAATAGCTCTTTGTCATGAGTTTTGGATTCTAAATTGTAAAACGTCAAGGGAAAATAGTTTGCAAGTTTCATGGAGAATGACATAAATTTGAACTCCCCAGAAGCCCTGCAACATTTATTTGTAGGCACCTCCAGTTAGTTTATTTCCCATAGTAAAGCTCAGAGGTCTTGAATTATGTCCCAGAGTCAACATTAAATGAGTTAGCAAGCAATATTTTGGATCGCTTTGCTACTTTTGCACATCAAATAAAGGTTTGGGCTAAACGTTTTCATTTTGGAATAATCTTTCTCTGCAAATTTGATTTCGCAGGGAACGAGCATTGAATGCAACCCAGCCTGGGTCCCTTCAGCTTACTGTGGGAAACCTGAAGCCAGAAGCCATGTACACCTTCCGAGTTGTGGCCTACAATGAATGGGGACCAGGGGAGAGTTCTCAACCCATCAAGGTGGCCACTCAGCCTGAGTGTGAGTATAAAAAGGGAAGGACAATATTTAGAAAGTCCTTATTTTCATCTGCAATATACTTGAATCCTTTCATAGGACTTTTTTGAGGTGAAAAAATGAAAGGAAGTATTTTTAAGCAAGGTATTTAACTCAAGGTTTTTTAAAGGTAAGACTTTTAACACAACAACCTTCTTGCCTAGGCCATGTCTCCATAATGGCCAATTAATAACTATAAATGCCTACTCCGTCCACATAATCTACATAGTTACTTCCTAAGTAAGTGACTTACTCTGACTAAACGTGTTTCATCATCTGCATCAGCTTTGAGCCTCCTCCGTTGATTTTTCAGGTTGTCCAAGTTGGTCTATGAAGAGTGTACCTTCAAAGGTAAAAGAAAAATGGTATAGAACTTCTAAATGTAGGGATTTATAAAATAACTTAAACAGTACTGAATGCACTCAAGAAGCTGCCAAAAGTGAATGGAGACTTGAGAAATATAAGAGATAACCTCTTGGACAATCTCACTATCCTTTAACTGGAATCACTGTAGTAAGCTACTTGACCACACCCAGAAAAGCAGTTGAATGTTCTTCTACCAAGTTATAATTCAATGATTTCTTCTTTTATAAAGGAAGAGATCCCAAATTATGCATTTGAAAAGTATTTTCATATCTTACAAAATTTTGCTTTTTCTTATTAATTTCTAATATTATTTGAAAAGATTGATTACTGATGAGAAGTTTGCCAGCTTTGTTTTGTTTACAATTTTAAAAATTATAATCAAAAATCTAAATGCAATGAATACCTACATGTAAAAATTTGCCTTATTTTAGACACTTAATTGCATCTATTCTCTTTCTTTTTTGAGTTAATAGTGCTGTTTTGTTTATATTCATGTTTGTTTTAGGCAGACCTATGTTCAACTTTAAAGTTACCTCACCTACTTCTGGAAGAAGGGGAAGTAGAGGTTAGAAATATTTTAATTGGTAAATGTGAGAAGATAATCTTGTACTAGGTCACTTATTGGGTATTTTAAATAAGTGTGTTGAAGAGGAGATAGCAGGGTGTATAGACAGTGTGCTGGTTCCTGCTGTACTCTTGGTAAAATCTCCACTCTTTCTTCTATTCAGCCAAGGCTACAAAGACAAGATGAAATCAATTTTGGAATAAAGTATTAATTAGGGGGAGGGGAGAGGGCTGAGCCATACAGGTTGTGCAAATATTTTCCTCACAGAAATAAAACCTCAGATAGCAACTTCAAAAACATAGTAATGTACAGGTTTCAGACAATTAGGAAACACAAGCTCTCAGGGAGGACTAGCTAAATAATTTGCAGGACCCAGTACAAAATAAAAACAGAGAAGTACATTGTTAAAAAGTATTAAGAATCACAAGAGGGCTATAGCAGAACATTAAGTCACTCTCCACACAGGGTCTTTCTAAGCACAGGCCTTGTGCAACTTCATGAAGCTGGCCCTGCTCCCAGCTTTCTGTTCCTAAGAATGTTTTGTTGCTGTATGCATTTGAAATCACTAAATAATGTCAATTTCCACGCCACGATGTCTATATTGACATAGTGTTTTAGTCATCAATTTCTTCATTGACTTACTCTTCATTGATTATATATAATCAGTAACTTTTATGAATATTTGGGGTTTTTTTTTTCCTTTATTTTTTTTTGTCTTTTTTCGTGACCGGTAACGAGATCGCAACCCACGGTGTCGTGCCCGCACCGCTCTCAACCAGTGAGCGGACCGGTCTCCACATGGGATCTGAACCCTTGGCTGGAGCGCCGCTGTGCTCCCAAGTGCCGCACTCTACCGAGTGCACCACCGGGCCGGCCCAATATTTGGTATTTTTAATCAAGTTTAGTGAAAACAAACTAGGTCAAAAAAAATATATATATATATATATATATATATATATATATTTAAATAGAATATGCCATGTTGTATACAGATAGTTTAAAAATCCCTCAAAAATTCTGTAAACAAATTCTTGTTCAACTTCCTAATATTGGAATTTAAACCTTAAAAACAGGTTTATTTTCAAAAGAACCAATTTCTATGGATTATCTGAATTCTTCACTTCCTAATTTTAATATCATGCTACAATTGTTTTAGTGTACTTTTCAGGGCTGATTGGTGATGATTACATTGTATTTCTGATAAAAATCCCAGTTAGTCAGCCTTGCTTTCTAAGAATGAGCAATATTTTCTTTCTTCTGTCCAACCACTGTTTCTAGCTATTCAATTTAAAAAATCAATTTCCAACTTTTTTCTTTTTTATTCACTTTTTTAAAAACATTTATTTTTATTTTATTTTATTATTATTATTTTTATTTATCAGTATACAATGTAGTTGATTTTTGTGGCCCTTTACCAATTCCCCCCCCCCTTTTTTTTAATGTCAACATTTCTAAGCCAAGGAATGATGAAATAGTTTCCTTTTTGACTCTGACTAATAACAATACCTTATTTTATAAAAATCTTATTCATGATACATGTTCCGCTATTTTAAATGTAGTTAACTAAAAAAAAAAAAAAAAAAAAAATAGTCAGTGACGTGTATTACACATATGGCCTTAAGTTTGTAAAACACACACAATGACATAATTCAATTTACAGTATATTTTACGACATTTCTTATGTTCCTAACACTGTCCAGGTTGGCTGAGGCACGTTACAAAAGCATATGTGTGTAATGAAGTAGCAGTACTTACGGATTTCAGAAGCTTCTTAGGGAAGCAAATATTCTATATATGTAAGATTAACAAAACAACTCATGTAAGGGAGCTGATAAGTACTTGCTAAATGGAATATAAACCATCTGAGTTACAGATTTGATCATGGACCCATTATCTGTGATGGCTGTGGCATATTATCTAATTAATTTTTTATGCCTAAATCATTCTGCACCCAGCTCCTCAAACCAGTGTTGTATTACAAAGACAGCCATCTCTGTATTTGTGTATTGTTTGTTAGCCCCATTCAGAAAGCAGGGGGAAAATTTGTGCAGAGGACCTGACTGCACACTGGTCTCTACAAACATTTTCTTTGCTTAACAATTAGCATAAATGATGATAAGGCACAAAAACCAACTAAAAGCCAGATTAAATAAAACATGTTGCTTGTTGGTATTGTTGATGCATATAAATTACTTTTTCACTGGGAAATGAAAATGAAGAAACTTTCTGCTTTAGGAACATGATGTAGCCTTGATTTTATTTTTCTTCCTCATTAGGGGCAGCAATAACCTTAGAATGCTAACCATATTTTGGCCTTTAAAAACAACATTGTTTTCTTAAATAATGCCTGTTTTTACCAACGTAGGGAGTAAGGATTATTTCCTTTGCAGGTCACTGTTTATTTGCACTGTGACTTGATTCTGTTTCATTGAGCATTGTCTTTGGATAATTCATCTCTTGCTGAGTACATGGGTAGATAGGAACAATTCAGCCTACATAAACAGGATGTTTAGAATATTCTTTATATGTGCAAAAGAGTTAGCCAACACCTTCAATTCATTTATATTAAGAGTAATGTGTAGCCCTTGCTGTCTTTATTATAGGCATTAGGATAAATAAATTTTATTATCATGACTAATACATACTGCATGTCTATTTTATCTTTTGTTGTTAACACAAAATGCCACTTTGGCAATTTAAAAATATTTCTAGAGCAAGGAACACTTCATCTTCTCCCAGCCTGCTCAATAATACAAAAATTGCTGAGGAATATGGAATGTCCAGAGATACTGAGCTTCCTTTCCCTTCCTTTTCTTTCCTTACCTCTCTCCTCTCTCTCCCCCTTCTTCCCTTCCTTTCCTTCCCTCTCTCTCCCTCCTTACTATTAGCCCACCTTTCTGTCTTTTTTAAGAAAATGCAAAGGCTGATTTTATTATTTGTCTAGACTCTCAAATTTAGAGGCAAGAGTGGGAAAATGTTTCCATCAATATTTCTGTCCCTGGCAAAATGATCTTAGCTTTTGAAAACGGGTTTCTTCTGGGTATGCATTTGGTTGCTTCTTTTATCAGTGTTTTTCCAAATGTGACGTAGTAATTGTACATTAAAATTACATAGCTTTTATACAAATTGAATTTCATGATTTTTATATTATTTGAAAATATCAACTCTATTACAAAAACCACATTCTCAAGGAAGAAAAACTAATGGAAAATATGTCTGAAATATAAATAAGCCAGCAACTGTTCTTAAAGTGCATACATTTTGCAGTAATCATTTAAAGAGATCAACAGCCTGAAATCCAGTTTATGAAATGATCATCTGAAATAGAAAGGCTTGATTTATATGAGTGTTTGTGTTCCCTGATTATATCTTCCTTTGGCTAAACCCTTGCTCTTTCTCCCCTGTCTTTATGTTATATAATTTCTCCACTGTATTATCAGCCGGGATTTAAGTCCCTGCCTGCTTAAGATTTGTCTAATCTTTTCATACCACATGTGGTGAATTTTTGAATTATTATTTGGGGTTCTTTAAGATGCTGTTAAGGCAGTTTAATCATAAAGAATGTTAAAATGGACCACATATGCGCTTGAGGGCTTGAATTAGAATGGGAAGTCTATTTGCTAGACCACAACCCAATTATATACAAAACCCTTTTGTATTAAAGAATTGTAAGTAATATTCACAGTCTATTATATTCTTTACACTAAAAAGGTGAGTGAAAGCAACCACCCAAGTTGGGTGACTTTAGAATATATGATCTAGAGGAATAGCTGTATTTGATTTTTACTCTCCTTTCCTGGAATTTTTTTTTTTTTCTTTTTGTTTTTTTCTTTAAATTCTAGTAGGGCTGTACTTGTATGGTTGCTAAGGAGAGAACAGAGAAGTTTAAATCATGTCTCTCGATATTTTGCCTCTATCCTAGAGCAAGTTATTTTGTCATTGAGACCTCAGTTTCCTGAACTATAAATTAGAGGAATCATTTACTCCCCCTTTCCTAGGTTGCGAACATAAAATGTGATACTATATGGAAACCCCCTGGGTTTTGCCTGGCATT